CATTCACACACTGATGATGGCAAACTACACTGTAGCCACAGCTGCCCTGACAGAGGTGGGGCTGCCATGCATCGGCGCCACCGGACCCTCTGACCACCATCAGTAGGCAAGGTGGGTGAAGTGTCTTGCCCAAGGACACAACAACTGAGACGGCTGGACGGGGGATTGAACCAGTGACCTTCTGGTTCCAGGACGACTCCCCTAACCACTCCGCCACAGCCGCCCCAGGATAGATACTGTAGGACTCAATCGTGTAATTTAAGTCTACGACCTAAACAGATTGAAACATATAGATTATTTCACCTCACTTTTTCATAAATCTGTTTTTTTAGATTTTTTAAACTATTCACTATTTAATGAAATCAAGAATATAAGAAATGTGTAGAGGCCACCCCAGGTGAAATAAACATGCAAGACTGTCCTTGACCTAAGGCCTCTGACAGACCTCTTTAAAGAGATATTTTCTTCTTATTAATCAGATAATAATCTTCTTTTTTCATAATTTTAAGAATGTATAAAAAAGAAAAACACAAAATGAGTGTTCTTACATTGTTTTATTGTGCTTTGATGTAAATCACTGCCTGAAATTTAACTGTGAAACCACAGTGATCGATTATAGATGTTTCTGTTGAAATAGTTTTACTAAACTCAGCGTTTTGATTAAGCTTTATTATGAAACATTTTATTTTATTCTTGTCTGTATCATCATAATGAATGTTTTTAAATGCAATAATGCTACAATGCTACAAATGCAATCATCAACTTAGTTACTTGTAACAAAAAGGAGGGACTACCTGTAGAGGGCTCTGCCAGCTTCGACAGCCATCCAGTCGATAGCGAAGTCCATCTGTCTGACGAAAGCAGACATGCGGACGGCCACGGTGTGGGCCACACTTAGCACAACGCTCGGTTGTTCCCTCATTATCCTGCAGAGGGCAGCACACAGAAAAGACTGAAAAACAACTTATTTCATTCTGAAATATTGAAAAATGAAGAGAAATATTCTTTCCAAAATAAAATGTTTCAATTTTTTTAATTCTCTAATGTATGCTATGAATGAAGATAGAAAAAGAAGGAACTTTCTTTAGTGATTTGTGACATTAGCATCATTACAAAGTGAAGCAGCAGTAAAGGTAAATGACTTACTCATAGAAATCTGACTTTGAGATCTTCAGGTAAGTGCAGTCTCGAACAGCCTTTATGGTAAAGATAAGGGGCTCTCCAGTGAGCACAGCAAGCTGGCCTACCACCTCTCCTGGTTGTGTCACAAACAAGCAGACCGCCTCCTGTTTGTCGATCATCCGCTGGTATACATGCAGGCAACCAGACAGGACGAAGTGCAGACTCACGTCCTTTACAAATCAAAACAGATCCAAACAAAACAGCAAAGGGAAGACATTTGGATTGTTTTCATTGCCACTCTTACAAGTTTATCTGTTGTAAAAGATCTGTGTTTTCAATGTGTTTTGTGTAATATACCTGGTCTCCCTGTCTTGCTAAAACAGCCCCAGCCTTTGCATGGTGCAAAGTTACTTTCCCACTCAACAAGGATGGGTCCTGGAGATAAAAAAAAGGACAGAAAATAATTAAAATATCCTCTCAAACTGTGACAGATACTGAAGCTCATAAATAACTTATAAAAACATTGTTTTTTTTTTTTGTTTTGTTTTGTTTGTTTTTTTTGCTCCGCTCTCGGAGGAGCAAGATGCTTTTTCCTTCTCTCCTGCCCTTCCTTATCTTCCCTGCTTTACTGCTTGGAGCCTTCTCTACATTTTCATCCGAAACCAGAAATTATCGATATTTTTATTTTTATGGATTTGGTTAGCTGGTCTCTTAATAAATTTTTGGAACAAAGTTTTTTCTTCCATGGGAGAACATGTCAAAGGTGGGACCTCTGTTCTTCTCTGTTCTGGATATATATCTGGATTCTGATCGCTGGATTCTACTGATTGGCTTGGTGGTCTGCTGGTGTTTCTACAAAACAATGTCCGTGGCTGTTCATTTCCTGGCTGCCTGACCATTATGAAGGATTGCCGTTCTATCAGCACTCAGACTTTTGCCTTGAGTGAGCTGGACTCGGTCTGCAAGTGGTTCTGCTGAGGGCTGCGGGCCGGCTGTGGTTCCTGGACTTTGCTGGCCAGATGGAATTGATCTTGGAGAAGCTGATAGCTCGGCTCAGCGGGATTGTCCACACTATTTGTCTGATTGGATTCACCACCTCGAGATGTACCAGCAGACATTAAAGCAGATGGAAAATTGTTATTCTCTGCCTGACATTTCTGTTCCCAAAACAACTGATTACAGAATTTGGCTCGCCTACATGGCCTTGAGCTGTTGGACTAAATTCTTCCTGGTTAGTTACGTCCATTCTTCGGGCTCATTCTTCAGATATTCACACAAGCATACAGCACTCATGGCTTCAGAAACACACACCCCTAAACTCACTTACTCCTCTGGCTAATAAATGTGCTCTATGCAGAGAGTTTTTTTTTTTTATATAAAAAGCATAGTGTGTCACATTGTTGATATAATACAATGTTTTGTTTTTTCCTTATCTTCCCTTGTGTGGTTTTTAGTTTTTCTTTTAAGGGTAGCGCCTCCTCATGATGTCTTCATGAAGATGATCCTTGCTCTGTGCAGTGTCTGTGGCAGCATGACCCAGGGCTCCTGTTCTCCTATGTTTGTTATGTTCTGTCTTCTTCTGAATGGTGTTCTGAACTGTAATTTCATTGTGCTCTGTACAATGACAATAAAGGTCTCTCTAATCTAATCTAATCTAATCTAATCTAGATAAAATGTCTTCCTAGTATTAAGAGTTGAGGGACAGTATTCAGCAACTACCAATTTCATTCAAACAATCTAGTTACTTGAACACAATGTGGAAAGTTCAAGTGATGCAACATAAACCCACACAAAGTCCCATATTGCAACAAATGACAAATGACTGTGTACAACATCCTCCTTTAAATGTTGCACAGGAGTCTTCAGATTTTTTTTTTTCACCACAGCTTCAACCATCAACTACCTATGATCAAAATCCGACATTAAAGGCAGGTCCAAGGTGTAAAATGCAGCCAAATATAATAATTACAGTTTAATGTTTGTGCACCAAAGTAAAAGTTAAGAAAAGGTATCATGCATTCTCTCAGAAGCTATATAAAAGCAGTTTTTGGCAGTTTTCTGCTCTGCTGCATTCAGGCGTGTGTTGACATAACGCCACAAGGGAAAACATCAGCAAAGATCTTAATCAAGCAACTATGCCTGCTTATCAGTCTGAGAAGCAGGAGCAGTTTAAATGGCCCTTTCCAAATAATTTCATCGTTCAACAGGATGAAACATTGTTCACAAGTGGAAAACCTTCGAGAAAGTTGCCAATCTTCCCAGAAATAAACATTTCAGCATGTTCACCGTGAGGTCAGACAATGATCAGAGACACTGCAAAGAAGCTACATTATATCTCAGCTCTGGGCTAAAACTCCCAACAACACAAGACTGAACAAGTGTGGCTTGTTTGGAGGGGTTGCCAGGAGAAATTGTGTTCTCTACAAAAACAATAAAAAAAAAAAAACTTTGTGAGATATAATCTGAAAGACCAAAGTAGAAATGTTTGATCATGATGCACAGTTTAAGTTGAATTTCTGCTTCTGAATTGGTTTTAAAAATTGCTGAATCATTGGGTGGATTATTTTAAAATGCACACACTTTCTGCATTTTGGCTTGTTTTTAATGAAATAATGAGACAGTGAGACACGTCACATGTTGTTGTACATGTACGGTTGCACTGACCAAATCTTCAGACCCAATAAGGACCATATGATTTTTTTTATACAAAAACAAGCTACACAACTGAATGAGAGTTCACTTTCTACCAATGGTTTTTCATACAGAGCAGTGCTGTAACAAGTGTTTTTACATATAAATAACAGGGAATAAATATATAAGAATGAAAATGAAAATGAAACAAACCTCAATCCTCATGAGACGGAGGACCTCTTTTTGGGCTTCCTCAAACAGAGAAGCACATGATCGACTGGATACAGGAGTGAAAATGTTGTCTACTGCTGAATCTTCCTCTGGATACAAGTAGATGCCAGAAGGAACTTCATCTACAGTCACCCTCCGCTCACGCTGTTCCTGTGATACTGACTGTAATAATATTAAGACTCATTCATTAGAAAATGTTCTTAAAACAATAAAAACAGGAATTTTCAAAAAACTATCAACTTTTTAGGCCTCTGACATAACTACACAAAACTGTTTTGTTTTTTAACAAGTTGTATTTTAATGGCTCCAACAGTCTTTCTTCTCAAATGTTTGTTCCTGCAATTATCTAAATGTAAATAAGGGTGTGAAATTAAACTTTATCTCCTTGGTTTAGTAAAATGCACTGACCCGAGTGAAGGCGGGAGGAGTGTTGCCATCCTCTGCGGAGACAGAAATGCGTCCTCTTTCGTACGCCATGTCAAAATCTGACCTCAGACTCTTCTGCATACCTGCACATGAAGACATCAATTATTCAGCCTTGAAAGGACATTTAGACTTTTTGTTTTTGTATTCCTTTAAATCATGCAAAAACATTTCATTGTAAGTTAAATTTCATGTTTGGAGATAATAAGTGCATGTGTATTAGTAAAAATTAAGCGTAACTAACAAAAACACAATATATTGTACATCAGTATCCTTCTTTACGATAACATTTCGCCCTAAAATGATGCTGTAATGGAACTAATACTTTTATGTTTAAGCAAGTAATTCATGACATCCTTTAATGACCTAGGTTTTCATGACATGCTGTTCATCTGCAGACAGAATGATTAAAGTCAGAACAAGATTTGCTAACAACAATCATTCTTAGATATCACTTGTGTTTATCTTTGTGTTTTCCATTGACCTTGTATCAAATCTTGCTAAGATGATATAATGGTGTTTGTTAATATATATATGAGGCCTCTCGAGACACAGTGAGTAGTGTGGAGATACAGTGACAGAGAGAAGCAGAGGCACAGAGACAGGGCAGGTTGTTCTCTGTGTTTCCTGTTGTTGCAACAAAACTCAGCTGATCATCCCACGGAGCACCTTCATTCTTGGACCACGTACTTCTGTCTTTGTTAAATAAATATTGCCATAACAGTTGCAATAAATGGTACAATTTGTTTTAATAATGCCTAAATGAATCTGAACTCTCAATTCATTCTGTGATGCTAAACTTTGATTGTTAATCTTCATTAAACCATAAATCCTGCATCAACAAGCGGCAGTTTTCAAATGATTGTAGCAGACAGCTGGTCTGTTAGAGAGTCCTGAAAAGCAGAACATAATAAAGAACTTGTTTTTTTTATTAAGTTGCCAGAGGGAGAACTTTACACATCTACAAAAGATGGACTGAGATGTACCCCACCCCTCGCACAGTAACTGTTGGAGATAGGACCAGCTCGCTGTGACCCGAATAGGAGAAGCGGGTAAAGAAAACTGCTGGAAGACTGAAGTCCCCTCACCAGAAATGTCCACAGGCATTGAGATCGTTCTGCTAAGGTTTGGCACTCCTCCATCCTTTCCTTGTTCTCCTCCTGCAGAGAAGAAGGTGCAGCATTTATTGGTTATTTTTCTGGTCTAAAATACATTTCTGATGAAGCAAACCAGTTAAAAGGCAGATGCATCTACAGTAAATGGACAGAGCAGTAAAGGCAAAAAGACAACAATGCACTTCAGCTGAAATCTAGTGGTACACAAGTTTCCTGTTTGTGTCCCTTCAAGGGCGACAGTGTGACATGCATGTCCTTCAAAAACAAAAAGTCAAAGAGAACACCTTTATATTTAGGAAACTTGGCATAATACATATTTTACCCATTTTATCACATAACAGACACATTTTCTTTTGAACTTGGCTCAGCCAAAATGAAACAGGAAGTGACATCAAAGGGGAACTCTTTAATAAAGGAAAGTCTCTGGTTGTTGTTTATATTGAAATTATATTATTTGAACTTTGAAAGAGACATCAGATTATTCTCTACAGTCTATGTTTTGCCCATTTTAGCAATACTCTGTTCATGTGCTGACAGTCCCCTTTGTCATCACTTCCTGTTACTTTACATGCAGATACAGTGGGGAAAATAAGTATTTAGTCAGTCACCAATTGTGCAAGTTCTCCCACTTAAAAAGATGAGAGCGGCCTGTAATTGACATCATAGGTAGAC